AGTCGTAATGCCCTACGTAATTCCTAATTAGGGTTGCCAAGGTTACCGCAAAAATTCCTGTCCCAACAAGGATACCACAATGGAATTCCTAATTAGTGTTGCCATCAATTCCACATCATAATGCACCACACAATTTCTATTAGGGTTACCACAGTTACCATTATCTGACTGATGAGAACAAGCCCAATGTGCTGTGTCAAGCCACAACCGTGTAACTGAGGCGAGAAGGAACAGAAACCAAAACCAAAAGAACTAATTAAACACTTAGGAGTATTCGCCTAAAGCGGCGATATCCAGCGAAGAGAAGCAGCAGTTGGCCTAACACGGCACACGGTAAAATATAGCAATCAGATTCTCCTGCCTGTCAGCAGCCAAAAACCTGATACGAATGCCCATCACAGTCTGACGTACGGGAAGTCAGCCGTGGGCAGAGCCTTCGTCATACTTCGACAAACTCGCTCCCCTGGCCAATAGACGAGAAGCTGTCGCACAGCAGAGGCAGCAAACACAGCAGATTGAGATGTGGATCATAATGCTCCAAATCTGAAGACCAGTCGCGCCGACACGGAAGCGCCGATCCTGGTTGCGAATAGCGTGTACTTGGTTACAAATAGCGTATAGATGGGCACACCGCCCCCGCTCCCGACGCAGATGTCAGTCGCGTCAGACAAACTCCATAGCCGTAAAACACAGCTATGGCCGTCGCGGGTGGTAGGGACGCCCTGGGCATGATGACCTCAGGTTAAGCGCCGCACCCGGCGGTGTCGGGCCGCAGCGCTCAACCGCCGCGCGACGTGCCATCCTCCGTTTGTCATTTTTTTTCTTTTTCGTCGGGGCAGCAGTTTGTCGTTTCGTTTTTCATTTTCTTTTTCTTCGGGGCAGCAGTTTGTCGTTTCGTTTTTCATTTTCTTTTCGTCAGGGCAGCAGTTTGTCGTTTCGTATTTCATTTTCTGCGGGCATGGCCCACACCGCCCGCACCGTGGGCGCTTAGCTAGTATGCACAATAGACAGTAGAGACCTCACAGGCACGGCCTATCACATGGAAATCACAGTTTATACACTTGAAGCTTTACACATTTGCACTGACAGACACACACAGGCATAAAGACCTCACATCTACTGCAAGTCACAACTCACAGAAAACCACGGCATCTCCAGCATACACATGCACAGCTCCCAGCACAGCTCATTGCACACAAAAGTACATATTACACAGCATACCTGCACAAGGCTGTAATATACATAATGGACAGTGGAAACCGATCACTGCACACAAACTTACACTTACACAGCATGCCTGCTCAAGGCTGTAAGATGCACGGATAGAACTCAGGGCTTATCATAGCCCAGTCTGTACAAAGCGGATCAAACATACACATAAACATGCCTACTTCTCATCATATGTATAGGGACGCTGGACCCGTTTTCCAGCAGGTGATGCTCCCCACCAATAGATGGAGCCCCCCCAGAAGTGCTAGCGGTGTCTGCTCCTACCAGCACCCCTGGAATCGACTCGGTTCATTTCTCCAAAAAAAAATAAAAAATAGAGTCACGAAAAGGAGTTATAATTGCACTATGGGGCAAGATACAGTTTGCAATTGCACTTAGGGCACCCTACCTGGCCAGAAAGCTGGGTTGTATACATTGCCCGAAATGCAATTTGAAACTGTGGTCCATAGCGCAATTATAACTTCTTTTTTCTTATCATACAGTTTTCAATTGCACTTCAGGCACCCTACCTGGCCAGAAAGCTGGGTTGGGGGACGATGAGAAAGGGAGGCGCAGCTACTGGCAGGTCTCTGTCTTTGTGTTAGCCAGACCCCCACTGGCGGCCCCAACCCTATACCCTAAACATTAGGGGCAAGGGGCAACATGAAATCTCCCCTTCACAGTGAGAGGACACTATGCTTGCAGGGGTCCCCTCTAGATAGCCTTAGGAGTAGGTAGTGAAAGGCAAAAACAGAAGTTGAGAGAAGAATATAGAAAAAAAAAAAAGAAAAAAAAGCTGGTTTGTATACATTGCCCGAACTGCAATTTGAAACTGTAGACCATACTGCAATTATAACTCTTTTTTTTTACTCCGGCGTAGTTCCCCCCCCCTCCAAAAAAAGGAAAAAGGCTCGCCCCGACCCAGACGCAAGTCAGACAAGATCCTACGGGATCCGTCCGGTGGATGTGTGGGAAGTATAGGTTTTGATAGAGAGCATACTCACGCTCGACTTCCGGGATGTATCTGACTGCAATTAGGGTCCTCCTGGATGCCTTTAAGGGGAATCACGACCAGAACTCAGGGCATGCTCACACTAGCACGCATTTTGGTAAACTTTAGGTATGGGATTTTGCAAAAATGTGGCACCTGCGGGTCACACTGCTCACCCGTTTCCTGACATACGTTTTGTGCAGTCACACAACGCAGCACGCAAATATCTGCCCCCCTTTTCTTTTTGTTTTCCTGATGAGATTCCGCCAGCCAAAGGCAAACGGGCAATTGATTGACATATATATATTTTTTTGTTGATTTGAGATAGAAAAGGTGAAACGGAAATAGGCATTTGCATACCAAAAAGAAGGAAAAATAGCCATTTGTAGGGACCTCTTTTTTTTTTGGGGGGGGGGAACAAGGCTCCAATCTATTCGTGGGGAGCAGCACGTGCTGGGAACCGGGCCCAGCGTCCCATATGAAAATTTACATAGACTTCGAAAGTTGAGATACCGGGGCCTTTACCCGGCTTGGCTAAGAAAAATTGGGGCTACTTAGGAAATTACTACTACAGACTTCGGAATTAGACAAAATTCAGAAACCGACTCAGGATCCCCCCATCCAGAGAGGTCCCCGCAAAATATGTGAACCCGTGGCTCTCCAGGCCGCTGACAAATATGTGCACTTCCGCATCAGCGGCCTAGCTCAGTTGGTAAGGCACGCAAATGGCATTCAGGAGGTTTTGGGTTCAATCTCCATTCACCTCATGTACCTTCCTGGGCAAGCTTGGCGCCTGCCACCTAGAGATATGCCGTTGGTCCCCCAAGTGGCATTGAGAAGAGACTGCTGATAGGGGACCAGAGGGGAGGCACAGTGACTGGCCCATAGAAGAAGCTAGATCCTGATGCTACCGGCTGACCCCTGCCCGGTCTTGCCCCACCTGCTGTAGCAGGTGCAACTCCCGCATGTTCCCTCGCTCGTTGGAGGCTTGAGCACGGATGTGCCTGCTACGGGGTTCCCCCCCCCCCGTAATACTATAAAGACAATAAAAAAGGCCTGGAAGGCCGTCCTGTCCAACGAAAACCAAATTAAATCCAACCCTCCAGGGTGTCCCTGCTGCACTATTTCTACTGACGTGGACATGAAACAGCGCGTATTGACATGCCACATCCTCCCATGTCCAGCTAAGCAGTCCCATGCCGGCGCCCTACCCTTTCATTTTCAACCTCTGGTTCGCTCTAGCGGATGAGGATTCCAACCGGACTGTGGATCGCCAGGGCGGATGGGGGCGCTCGCTCCACTACTGACCACATGCCATTGGACAAAAGACGAAAAACATGGCCATGCATCTTTCGCTGTCTCTGGGGAAAATTCATTCTGATTTTGCAGATTTGGTGAGTAGTGGAGCGGGGCCCTGATAGCGGGTAGGCCGCAGTGACACTGGGTTTTCGCTGGATGTATGTAAGCGACTGGCATTGCCGCCAGATCCGGTTGAAAACTCGTAGGGTGAGAATGGCCTCAGACATTCTACCGGTTGGAAACGCGGCCAAGTGCGGTGAACCGGGGTTGTCATATCAAACAACTGTAGCCAAGCACGTGCTGGCCATCGACGTTTTATGAAATTCTGTATCTTTGAATTGAATTTGAATAAATTAAATGAAGTTGAGGCCGGGGGCCAAGTCCCACATACCTACACGGTCGAACTAGTCCAACGCGTGTGACCCCGCACGACGTTGGAGATGCATGTGGAGCTGTGCATCTAGCCGTTGTTTTAAGGTAGCGGAAATGAAAAGTTTATTTTTTTCGGTTCAAGAAAAGTGCTAACCCTGCCCACCTTCCGTTGAACAGCATACCCCACTTGGGGTGGGGTTTGGGTTCAATGGTGCTTGTGCCATCATTACCTCCTCGTGGGAGGACTCTCTGACAGCCGTGGGAGGACACTCTGACCGAGGGTGTTCATGCTGTCTTTGGCCCTGCAGCCCCAAACTCATTTCTGTGAAAGCACCAAGCCAGGGTACTGTCCACGTTCATTTCACTTTTTAGTGAGTAAGGGTCTCGTAGACACTCCTAAAAGAATCCTAAACTTTTTAGGAGGAGTCCTAAAGGTTTTTTACGATTTCGTCCGGTGTGGTTGCATGCAATCCTAAAAAACATCTTTTAGGACTCGTCCTAAAAGTTGTCCCGCGGCCTGTTTGTATATTCGTATACGCAGCCGCCTCGTCGATGTCCGTCCCGCAGTGGGTGGTGTCCGTGGTACACAGCGCTGCAGACCGCCGCCGTGCGGGTCCCTTCGGTGGGAAGCGCGCGTAAGCTGGAGGAGTTCGGAATTCGAATTTTGAATTTTGCTGGCGGCGCGGCAGCCTTCTGCATGCGTGGGGCGCACGAAATGTCTATCCGCCAATGGACTGTATTTACGTGCACGAAGACGGTGCAGACGTCATTCCGGCGCGGGCAGACGGCTGGTGAGTGGGCGGGAGTGGCGGGCAGTGCTCGTGCGTCGGTCGGCTGCGCAGGAGTCCCTCCGCCACCGCTGGGAAGTCTTCGTACAACTCCACACGCGGGGCTTCAAGTGTTGAGTGGTGGCGAGTGGCGTGTCTTCCTCGTCGTCTCCAGGCGCCGGGCTTCGTCGTGGCTGTTTCGTCGTGGCTGTTCTTCTGCGGTTCGCTTACCGTTGCGCACGCGCAGGTGGGGCGAGTCGTGCGTGCCTTGCAACTCGTCACCGCCCTTCGGTGGGCGCATGTTGCAGTCCCTGTTGTGCGGTTTAGGAGGGTGTTACGCGGAAGTTGTCGCGGTTACGAGGGCGCAGTCGACGGTTACCTTGAGGCGAGTGCAGGAGAAGAGATGGACGCCCATGGATGCGGCAGTTTTCTTGACGAAGAGGAGATGGAGGCTGTGGCGACGGCCGTCACCGCCGTCGTGTTGAACAACATGAACCATATGTCATCATCATCACGGGGCATGCGTTTGCAGCTTCGTAAAAGGAGACTGCTTTTGCAGAGGGTCATGGAAGCGCCGGATTGCGTTGCCACTTGCCAAGCAGTCTTTCAGATGTGTTCCGCCCTGTCGTGTGGCGTGTTTCCGCGGGCGACGCCCAGGTGGTGGATTAAACGTCGGACAGGTGGCACGTGGGAGGATTTGAGACAGTCTGATGACGCCACTGCGGACTACTACCGGGACAAGTTGCGCATGTCTAGAGCGTTGTTCAACCAGATAGTTGCCGCTTGTGCAGCGCACGTTGAAAAGAAGGTGACGCACTACAGGACGCCTATTCCTCCTGAACAGGTGATTGCTTTTGCGTTGTATAGATGGGCGTCTGGCGAAACGTACGAGAGCGGAACGTCGGCCTTCGGTATCGGGAGGGCGATTGGGCTGCAAGTCGTCCGTGATGTGACCTCTGCGCTGCTCAAGGCGTATTCGGACGCCATCAAGTGGCCTGTTGGGCGGAGACGTGCGCAGATCCTCCGCGGTTTCCGGGAGAAGGGGTTCCCGAACTGCTTCGGCGCCATAGACTGCACGCATATCTTTATTGACAAGCCGTCCAACGCACCATCCGAGAACTACTACGACAAGAAGCAGAAGTTCTCTGTCCAGGCGCAGGTCGTCGTCGTTCTTGACCTGCGTGTCATTGACGTGCACGTCGGATATCCGGGGAGCGTCCACAATGTGCGCGTTCTATACAATTCGCAACTATGGAGGCGTGTGGAACAAGGTGAGCTTTTTGATGCGCCCTCGGAGAATCTTCCACATGGCGTCGTGACACGCGGTTACCTGTTGGGTGACAACGGCTATCCGGTTGCTTGCCCTTGGATTGTGCAACCGTACGGAGGAATAAACCAGGGGCCCGACGAGGAGCGTTTTGACACGTGGCAGAAGGTGGCGCGGGGATGTATGGAGAGAGCCTTCGGTCGATTGAAGTGCATGTGGCGCCTTTTTCTGCGGACACACAAGACGAACCTGAATACGTTGCCGCAGCAATTCGTCGCCGTCTGCACGCTCCACAACATCCTTCTGGACGCGGGGATTGAATTCGACGACAACCTGTTGTGGGAGGTGGATGAGGACGGTGTTCGGCGCAGAGTGGATTTGACCATTGTCGACAATGGCGCGGGCGGGCGGCGGGAATGCACGAACGTGGAAGGCGACTTGCTCAGGGATGCACTTCGAGACCGACGGCTTTGATGTAGGATGTCATCGCTTCCTTTGGAGAAGGGTGGAACGAGCGTTGCTGTGCTTGGTGGAAGGCCATTTTCGGCAGGTGCTTTGAACGAGGAGGTGCATGGTTGGATGGGTGGATGGGATAGCGGGGTTGATGGGTGGCGGGTTGTGGATGTCGCATTGTCGTGGGGTGAGTATTTTCCCTCGGTGACGTCGTTTGAGTTCGGCTCCTTTTGTTGTGTTTTGTATCGGTCGGCAATCCATTTCCGTCGTGCGTTCCCGGGACACGTGTCGGCGTTAGGCAGTTCAATAGTTGCTTATATTCCTTTGGTAGACGCTTCGGCGGTTCACTAGACTTCCCGCACGGTAGTTCCTTATATTCCTTTGGTAGACGCTTCGTCGTTAGGCGATTCAATAGACTTCCAGCAAGGTTGTCCGCCGCTTCGACGTCACATTGAAGTGCGACGTTCGATCCGGACATTCGTGCGAAATGCGACGAACCTTTTTTTGGTGTAATGCTCACGTGTGGCAAGCTTCATTCCCTCCAATATCATTGTCTTCCCGCTGTGTGGATGATTCCCATTTCATGGATGTCGTATGTGCATGTCTCTCCTGACTTTTGTTAACATTAGGACTTGTTGTCTTATATCCCTTTGTTGCTCTCAATACTTGCGTAGTGTTTCCTGAAGGATGCGCTCATACAGTTGACATGAGTTTTAAATTCAGGTGATATAGATGTTCGTTTTTCGCTGTTTTTCACATGCATGGGTATTTTTTCATATTGTTCTGGCGAAAACGATTGTAGTAAAAAAGAGAAAAAACACAATGTGGATGGGCAACCCATTGCTAAAGATAAATAAGCATGTCGACCATTGTCAGCAACCCCGTGAGCAACCCGTTGCCAAAAAAAAAAATAAAAAAAAATTCACGACATTGTTGATCGGAAGAAATCCGCTTCTCATCATTCCACACATGGGTAGAAAACACAGAAAGTGTATTTGGCAAAGTTCGAAAAACAAAGTTAGGTATCAGTTTTCGAAAGAGCACTTTAAATTGTGTTGCGCGCAACACAAAAGCACATCGAACTGAATTATTCCTAACGGTGGAGCCACGGTAACTTTAAAACGCATCGACGTCTCTATGCTGTTTACACGACGTCGATCCTCCTCCTTTGAACTTCGACACATTCAAGTGGACTGGAAAAACAACATAGGATATCGGAACTGAAAGGGAAAAAAAAAAAAAAAACGACAACGAAAATGTACTTTGACGACAAAGGGGTTGCCGTCCATCCGCTGTACAAAACGACAGCCTCCGCTGTACTCGCACGAAAGAACTAGAAAACCTGCCTTGAGCAATCGATCCCCGATCGGCGGAACAACATCATCATCGTCATCGTCATCATCATCATCGTCATCATCGTCATCATCATCGTCTTCGTCATCATCATCATCATCATCATCACCATCATCATCATCATCATCATCATCACCATCATGATCATCACCATCATGATGATGATCATCATCATCCACGGCGTCATCATCATCATCATCATCGTCATCATCATCTTCATCATCATCATCATCGTCATCGCCATCATCGTCATGGGCAGCAGCAGCAGCAGCAGCAACCACCGACTATATGCGAAAACTCCATGGACGGCAAACGCACGACTTATCACCGTCGTCCACCCGGAGTGCTGGCGCTCAGCTGTCACCGCTGTCATCATCGCCGTCATCATCGTCGTCATCATCGTCGTCATCCTCGCCGTCGTCGTCGTCGTAGTGGACCGGAGGGCCACTGCCCAACCAATCCAAACCGATCGCCTCCTCCGGCCCGCTCAGACTCGCATCATACCAGAACTTCACCCCGCATGAAGCCCATTCGGGGACGAAATGCGGCTCGTGAACCAATATTACCTGTGCTTTCCCAAGGCGTTCCGTCACGGCGTTCGCTGCGGCCAAGATGTGACGCCGATGATCGAACAAGCGGTGCATGGATGCCACCATCACGAGCTTCGCGACGAGGTTGCAGAAGTAGACGGCCTCGTAATAAGACCGCAGGTCGTCCCCCGACATCCGCATAATCCACATAGTCACCGCCAAAAGGACCTTGAAGCACTCCGCGACACGACATAGGCGTTCTGTAGTAATGCACCCTCCGTCGACCGAGTTCCCTGTCTCCACTGCAACACTGAAAGCAGCAATCAGTCGCATTACAAACGCTTCCTGGTATGCGGCCATGTCGGCGTCCCTGGGCCTGTCTTCTATGTACGCACCAGCAAACCACAATGGTAGGTCCATCCCGAGTACGAGTGTGTGTGCGCAAGCCGCGGGACTGACGACGTTCCTCCAATCCTCCCCGTGCCACATGGTGCACGCAAAATCCGTCGCCACGGATTCGAGGACGTATTGAAAGGCGATGGTGTATCCCCTCTCCCTACAACCAGACTTGAACACCCAACCGTGCAGGACACGCATGATGACGTGCTGGCATCTCGCCGCGCTTTCAACCGCTCCGCGCAATTGTGCGGAATCGGTCAGCCTCACCACCGTCACGTTCGATCTTGGCATGGCCACGCTCTGTGGGACGTTCGGGAGGGAATCACCGCTGGCGATGGCGACGAGGTATTCCCTTGTCTCTTTGACGATGTTAAATAATCTACGACCCTCTCCACTCATCCAGAACGTCGTGTCTTCCATCCAAACTTTCGCCCGATCCGCCAGTTCCTTCACCACTCCACCTTTGTTGCGGACCCTGTGTGCAAGCGGCTCTTCGTCCTCCGCCGCCTTCTTTCTCTCCGCGCGGGCGATCTCCAACGCTTTAGCCGCGTCATCGCCCTTGCCCCCCTCCGCTCCTTCCCCCCCCCACATCCTTCAGCAGTGCCGTCCACGGCAACAGCGATCTTGGCAGCGCCCACGTGAACCGCATTTGCGGCAACAACGGCTTCGGCTGCACCGCCATGTGCGGCCGTGCCAGAGCCTGCCTGCTGCTGACGTGGTGCGACCGGAGTGCTGGCGTGACCGGTGCCTGCGCTATTTCTCCCTTGAGGCATGGCGAGCGAAGTACTCAACGGTCCAGAGTGGACATGGTCTTTCCGCGCGACGTCGTCGTGATCATATCCGTCCATACCTCCACCCCACCCATCGCCCTCCAACTGCGTCCCACTCGCCGAAGCTGCGTCATGACGCGCACGTTTATGCTTCGGAAAACGACACCCTCCACCTGTCCCACCCGCCGTGTCTGCGTCCGCGGCTTCACATTTCCGTCCACTCGTCCGTCCACTGCTTCCTCCCCTTGGAGGCATTGCAGAAGTGAGGAGGAGGGAGAGAAGATCTGCAAAAGTGTGTGTGAACACGACCAGCCGATCTGCAAGAGCGAGCGCTGACGACGTGCAACGGATGTCTGGCGCGTCTGCTCGAGCTCCTCTAGACTCTCCAAGACAACTTTCGCGCACTGCGGATCATGCATTAGTGGTGAGCAGGGGGTGGCCTTTATAACTTTTACGATGCAAAAAAGGATCGCTGGTTGGTCGACGTCAACACCCGCGGATATATCTCGTGAAACTTCACCCTCAATCCGGCCACGCCATCCACACTGACCATGACGAAAAAAACCGACCCTTGAAGTCCAAAATGGAAGCCCGCACGTCGCACCCCGACATCAAGGATGAAAAGCAAATCAGTCGGAAACTGAAAATCAAAAAAAAAATTCTTCCGACCACCGCCCGCTTTCGACCATCCAGGTCGGCCACTCCCCCCACTGGCTGACACCA